ACACACACACACACACACACACACACACACACACACACACACACACACACACACACACACACACACACACACACACACACACACACACACGCCTTACTGTAGTGTAGTCTAGACTAGACGTGAACAGTCCAGATGCTCACTTGAGAATAGAGTACAATATAACACAACAGAATGAAATGTATTATAAAATACCAGTATGGAATACATCAAGAAAACAGAATAGAATAGCATAAAATAAAATAGAAACATGTCAGTAGCAAAACAGAAATTACCAGTCTAGACTAGATGGAGAAAACTGAACAGAATAGAATATGAATGAAAAAATAGAATAGAATCGAATAAAATTGAAAAGAATAGAATAAAACAGAATAGAATATAAATGTATAGAACAGAGATTAATAGAATAGAATAGAATAGAATAGAATTATGTCATAGTAGCAAAACAGAAATTACCAGTGTAGACTAGATAGAGAAAACTGAACAGAATAGAATATGGATGAAAAAATAGAATAGAATAGAATAGAATAGATTTGAAAAGAATAGAATAAAACAGAATAGAATATAAATGTATAGAATAGAGATGAACAGAACAGAACAGAATAGAATAGAAGCATGTCATAGTAGCAAAACTGAAATTACCAGTCTAGACTAGATAGAGAAAACTGAACGCAATTGAATAGAATATAAAGATAATAGAACAGAATAGAATAGAGATGAATAGAACAGAACAGAATAGAATACAACCATGTCTTAATATCAAAACAGACATTAGCAGTCTAGATTAGATAGAGAAAAGAGTATAGAATAGAAACACACATATATACCCTACAATAATCTGGAGTAGTCTGTAGAGTAGTCTAGACTAGATGTACGGTAAGCAGTGCAGATGCTCACTGGAGAATAGAATACAATAGAATACAACAGATGATCAAAACTTAATAATAACATTGATGCAGTTACACAGAAAATACAATAGAACAGAATATATGGAGAAAATAGAATGGAACCGAATAAAACAGAAGCACATCATGATAGCTTCTAGAAAGACGTAAAATATCAGTCTAGAGTATAAACAAATACAAAAATAGAAAGATAATATAAAATATAAGGAGACATAATAGAATGGAATAGAACAGAATCATGTCACAGTGGCAAAAACAGAAAATGTAAGTCTAGACAAGACGGGGAGAATAGAATAGAACCTAGATTGAGAAAATAGCATAGAATAAAATAGAATAGGAGCATATCTTAGTAGCAAAACAAATTACGAGTCTAAACTAGACAAAGAAAACAATAAAAAAGGAAATAAATAGAATTTAATAAAATAAAATAAAAAAAAGAATAGAATAAAACAGAAGTGTATCTTTGTAGCAAAATATAAATTAGAGATGGAGAAAACTGATAAAATATAGATGACCAGAATAAAATAGAATAGAATAAAATATAGATAATCAGAATAGAATATAGATGATCAGAATAGAATAGAACAGAATAGAAAACACATAAATAGGATAAAATAGAAGCATATCTTAGTAGCAAAACAAAAAATACCAGTCTGATAAAAGCAACAGATGGAGAAAATACAATAGAATAGAATAGAGAATAGATAGAGAAAACAGAATAGAATACAATAGAATAGAACCATAGAACCAACACAAATTGCCAGTCTACACTAGATGAAAAAAACAGAATAGAATAGAAAATTGATGGAGAAAATAGAATATAGTAAAATAGAAGCATGACATAGTAGCAAAGCATACATTTCCAGTCTAAACTAGGTGGAGAAAACAGAATAGAACAGAAAAGAACAGAATAGAACAGAAAAGAACAGAATAGAATAGAATAGAATAGAATAGAATAGAATAGAATAGAATAGAATAGAATAGAAAGTAGATTTATAGATATGAATGGAGTAGAAAAGAATAGAAAATAGATAGGAAAAATGGAAATAGAATACAATGCAATAGAAGCATGACATAGTAGCAAAACAGAAATTACCAGTCTAAACTAGATGGAGAAAACTGAATAAAAAAGGAAATATATGAATAGAATAGAATGGAATGGAATAGAATAGACGAATGCCATAGTATCAAAACAGAAAATACCAATCAAGAATAGATGGAAACAATAGAATAGAAAATAGATGGAGAAAACAAAAGAATACAATAGAATAGAAGCATGTCCTAGCAGCAAAACAGAAATGACCAGTCTAGACTAGATGAAGAAAACAGAATAAAATAAAACAG